AAAAACCTTTATAATCTATAACATTAAACTTATTTCATGTTTCCTCTAAACCATGTTTTTTTAGGTATCAAGATCAAAAGCACCCTGTGTAATTTATAAACTTTTTTTTAATTTTGTATTATAACAATACATTCAATTAGTATAATAAGACACAATCAGGAAGCATAAGTTACCAATCAAATGAAATCAATATAAAAAAATTAATCTTTGCACTACAAATGTGGCACAGAAGAACACAAAAGTGGCATTTAGGTATATTTACAGACTGCGTTTAATGAGGCTCAGAGGTAGCATAAAAGCATTTAAATTCATAATTTTATGTGATGAATGTTTTAAAGTAAGTTCTGAATATAGAAATATTAAATTATTTAAATAGGTGGTGGCAAGTCACTCTGTCACTGAATCATTCATTCAGTCGATTGGTTCAAACAGCTAATTCATTCAGGAACGAAGCAAGTGACTGTTCAAAAAGATTAATTCAAAAATTATTATTATTATATATTGCGCTACGTTTATGTGCGTAGGCTATTGAATGAATAAAACATAGAAATCCCTTTCATTTCCAAAAAAAATCTAACCAGTTGGAGCTGGAACGTCGTCCTCCCTCAAAATTCACTCCCCGGACTCGGTCCCCCGCGTTCCCCCCCATTTCCAGCCCTGGTTAGTGTAGCAAAACCATGGTTAATTTGTGGTTACCATGGATTAACTATAGTAACCATAGTTTTTTTCCCCCATTTTAAAAATGGTTTAAAGGCTGAGATGTGAAGGCCATGATCATTAAATGTTTTGTTTTTGTGAAAATCTGTATCTGAACTGTAAATCATGCTTTCTACAATCATTTTACAGTTTAATGTTATCATAGATACTGCCCTTCCCTGCTTATATGGTATTAATTTTAATTGTGCAGGTCTTAAAAAGTCTTTAATTTGAGCTTTAAAATCCTGCAGAAACCCTGTTCTTTATAACAACCCACTTTGTTCATTGATTACAAGTCTAGCTTTAATTAGTGAAAGTGACGTGACGTGTAGCCAAGTATGGTGTTCCATACTTGGAATTTGTGGTCTGCATTTAACCCATCCAAGTGAACACACACACACAACCGGAGCATTAACGCCCCCCACCTACAATCCCTGCCGGTACCAGGACTCGAACCCGCAACCTTTGGGTTACAAGTCCGACTCTCTAACCATTAGGCCTTCTACAGTATTTTTAGGTTAATAAAAAGCTGCACTATTATCATGTGCCTTACAAACAAGCTAAGGTTAACTAAAATACTAAACTGTTTTTTTTAAACAAGACTTAGCATGAGCGTGCTCCTACCATGAGTAACATTTATAATTTGTATTACAGATGCCCAAACTCATTCTTGTCTTTCTCATAGATAATGTGAAGGCATATTTCAAACGAGGGAAAGCTCATGCAGCAGTATGGAATGAAGCAGAGGCAAAAGCTGACTTTGCCAAAGTGATTGAATTAGACCCATCACTTGAAACCTCAGTTGCAAAGGAGTTGAGGGCAATGGAGGATCGCATTCGGGAAAAACAGAAAGAGGAGAAGGGACGCTACAAAAACCTTTTTAACTACAGCAGCAAAGCCTCTGCTGCAGCTTCCACGGTTCGTTCGGTCTTCCATCTCATAAGCAAACTTTAAATTATTGAATATTTATAAACTATTGTTAAACAACAACAAAAACTGCTAAGTTAAGTAACCTATGCTATTTTCCTCTCTTTTTAGGGCTGAAACAAAAATGAACTTCCAATTTTACATTTATATGGATGCAGTTAGGCCAGTGTCAAGTTGGAGCACATGCACTCTGATAAATTGGTCCCCCACACAAGTTCATCATATTTTTATCACCACCTCCTCATGTTTTGTTAGTAAATTGATACACCAGTGAGGAGTGCATAGCTTTAAATGCACTTGAATCCATCCATTTATCCCTGGAGTAACCCATCATTTATTGAGAAGTGCCCATTTTCATTGAGTTGCTAATGGGATCTGCATCTCCTGTGAACCAGAAATTAGTAAATACCAGCTTACTGCCCTGTTACCTTGTATATTCAGTCTTTGGATATAGTTGATAGAACCCAGCTCATTAAGGTCTGTGCTTTTTAAGGGCAGTGTGAAAAACCAAACTTGAAAGACAATCTGAAGATGATAAAATACTAGTCTGGTTAAATAGGATTTCTTTGACTATATCCCCCTTTCCCTCAATTTTTATGTTATTCTTTTGTATTCATCATGTTTATTCATTTTATTGCTATTACCCTCATTGTCTTTATATGTATACTACACATTTAATATCGGAATATTAAGGAAATTAGAAGGCCTATGAAATATGGAAGTGAAAGACACAATGTAAACACTGTGATGGCACATGTAAAAGTATCCACTTCCCCATCATTGAAACTGAAAACATATTCATTCACATTGTGTTGTTCATTAATGGATTTGTCAGTTACATCTATATATGTCACTACAAATAAATTGCTATTTTCGACTGCCTTTGTGGTGACTGAAGCCAAATAAAATTCTTTGAAAACCAAGCAACTCATGCATTCAGTGGAATTGAAAATTGGACAAATTGTTTGTATTGTGTTTTTTGTTTGTTTGTTTTTTTATTTAAATACAGAATTGCAAAAATTGGGCTTAAAAAACTGATATGCTAATCGCATTTACACTACATGAGGTGTACAACGGGGAGATGGCTATGCATGATGGAAAAAGGTCATTAAGAAAGATAGAAAGACATGGTGTTGTAATAGCTTGGCAAAGAGAAGGAGCATGCAGACCAATAGGGCAAGATAAGACAAGTACCAGAGGGAGGGTGCGTGTGTGTGGATGTTATGTGCGAACACTTCGCTCTGTCTCCGCTAGACACTCCCTGACAAGAGCACGTGCGTGGATGATACCTGATAAAAGACAGAAAGATACATCAGCCATTTCAAACAAGCAAACATTTAACCAAATAATAAGACCATGTGCTAACATACAAACGTGCAAAATGACTACTGTAAGTGGTTATGTTGATTGACAGACCATTTACTAATGAACCAGGTAGCAGTGATTGTAAAATACTGTATTTGTATGTATACTATAAATAGACGTTAAAAAAAGCATTACAGATCAGGCATTAGAAGTTGCAACTTTTACATGTACTGCAACTTCAATAAGTAATCAATATAATTTAAAAAAAATCTATAGTACAAATAAGTGGCTTGTTTGCACTGTAATTAATGGCTACTGGAATTATAAATATTCTGAACACATTTTCTATATTAATTTTACTTAAGTGACGAGCACCACAACAGCTTAGTAAGAAAGTCTTTGTGCTGACAAAATAAACATTGTAAGTGATCTCGCACAGATCTGAAAATCACAACTGCCCTTAGGCCCTTAGGCTCACATTATTCTAGTGGACTAAACGTCACACTGTTACAAATGTGCTGCATGTACTTTAGTCCAAAGGGTTTGGAATACCTCTCTTCAGCCTCTCCATGGCACTTTTGCTGCCAGCATAGGTAGGACGAATTTCACGGCTCATCTCCTCAATGACAGAGAGCAGCTCACTATAGGTAGATCCCTGTGACACTTTAACAGGCTATAGAATACAAGAGAAGTCTAAGTGATATGAATCCTCTTTTTTATGAGATGTGTGTGTATATATGTATGTGTGTGTGTATATATATATATATATATATACACACACACACACACACAGTATATACGCTAGTGCTGGGCGGTATACCGGTTCATACCGAATACCGGTGTTTATTTTTGTTATATTAATTTTTAAAATATAAATTTTTGGTCATACCGCCCAGCACTAATATACGCATTCTCATACTACCCTTTCAAAAGTTTGGAATAAAATTTTTTTTTTAATGTTTTGTAAGAAGTCTATTGTGCTCACCAAGGCTGCATTTATTTAATCACAAACACAGTGAAAAGAGTTATATTTTGAAATATTATAATTTTAAAATAAGTTTACTATTTTGAATATATTTTAAAGTTTCAAGTCCTGCGATGGCAAAGATGAATTTTCAGCTGTCGTTACTCCTTCTGAAATCATTGTAATATGCTGATTTGGTTTTTATCAATTATTGTTGCTCTATTAATAATAATGGTTCTTAATATTAGTGTTTTTGTTGCTTAATATTTTCAGGATTCTCTGATGAATATAAAGTTAAAAAAACAGCATTTATTTGAAATAGTTACAATATTTATAATGTTACGTAAGATTTCTGTCACTTTTGATCAATTTATTGCATCCTCGCTGAATAAAAATAATCCCCCCCCCATCTAATTTAACCCAAACTTTTGAACAGTAGTGTATCACAGTTTCTACAAAAATATTAAGTAGCACAATTGTCACCGTTGATTATTAAGAAGAAATGTTTCTTAAGCAGCAAATCCATATATTAGAATGATTTCTGAAGGACCATGTGACACTGATTAGTAAAATAATGGCTGCTGAAAATTCAGAATCGCCACCACAGGAATAAGTCACATTTGAAAATGAAAACTTTTATATTTTAATGTAATATTTCAAAATATTACTGTTTTTATTGTATGTTACTGTATTTTGATTAAATATATGCATCATTAGTGAGCATATGAAACCTCTTTCAAAAAAAAAAAAAAAAACAACATTCAAAACTTTAAACCAGTAGTGTATTTATTCCAAATAAAACAGACCGATTGGGCATTTATCATCATAATTTAAAGTCTGCAAATGTATCTAAAAAGCCCACTGCTATAAAAATTTAACTTACTTGTACAAAGCCCATTGATGGTGGACCAAAGTCACTAAATGCTGGTCTAAAGTTAGAAGAGGAAGCCAGTGATGGAGATGAGCCACATGATCCTAATACCAGAGAGCAAGAGGAAGACCAATCACAAATCAAGGAAGTGTCAAAAGGCCAAACTCGACCAATGACGTCTCGCCACCCAGTGCGTGTATGAAAGGAAGTGAGGTAAAATACAGCCAATTTTAGATGCACTGATGTGATGGCATGGTACACTCACAAATGGGTAAGAAAACGGTTAGCTTTTAAACCTAAACGCGATAGGGTGCGGTTAGCAGCACAATATACCACATTTATGTAATGAGCGAGACAGATGGCTATGGCTCCTTTAACTCCTCCCCCTTTATCCGTGTCTCTGACCTCTTTTACAGTAGGTTCACTGACCCCTTTCCCCGGGATTAAAACGGTGCGTTTGAAAAGATACTGGACAAAAACTACCTCAAATGGAATAAATATGAATGTAAAAAAAGAAATGAATGAACCGAGAGCACAATGAAACTCACCTGGTGGCGTGTGGTTGGAGCCGGTGGGTGCGGGGGCGATCGGCTTGTAACTCATATTTACACCGCCGTCGACTGTAACCTCGCTTGATAAAGTTTCTGCTTATCTTCTGAATGTAATCTCGACGGGCTTTAGTATCTGAAGCAGGAACGATGCTGACCTAATGTAAACACAGAGTAGATATACAGATAGGCATAAGAAGAGGTGAGAGACATGATAAAGGCTAGCGGACAGAAAAGACGGTCCCCTCTAACGTTAAACTTAACCGGCTTCAAACCGTGCCTTCTCTATAGAAACCCACTGTGATTGACTGACTTTCTCAATATTGTCAACTAGGGTAAAATAACGACTCGTTTTATATAAATACGAAATATATTTATAGAGTGGAGAATGCCTGTAGTGGTTTATGAAAGGTACATTTAACTACCCACCTCTTCCGCGAACTCGCTCGACAGCGACACACGCTAAATATCCAACAAGCCGACAACTGAAACAAACAACAACAACCGTGAACACTTCGCGATACGTTGGGCAGTTTACGATGGTTTCAGGTCGCCGGTCTACACTTGTTCGAGGAGGTAAATGAGGAATATAACGCACGGGAATAGTTTCGTTCCGCGGAGGTGTCGGTTCTTCTCCTCTCTTCCTGCGCGTGCTAGCCTGCTATGTTATTTTCCCATGATACTCGGCAAAAAGAGTGACTGCGTCATCAGGCACGCGCCTTTGCCCTCTCTCTCTTCCACAATGAAGATTCCATTCTGGAATTTTCTTGTTGAGGTGTGTGGAGAGAGTGGGCAACAATGAGATGGGAAAACGTTTGGAAAATCATCTAAAGTCGTTTTATTTATTTATTTATTTATTTATAGAATGGCATAGAGTAGTAGAAAATAATAGAATAAAGCAAAATGGAATAAATTCTATGAATTCTTTTTTGTCAATATGCAGGGTATTCACTACTGCATGAGATGTACAGTACAATAAACGATGCAATGTGCAATGTACACAAAACATAAATATTAAATATCAATGTTTATTGACTGGCAGCTGTTTAAAGGAAAATGTTCTTTAATCAGGATGTTTTAGCTGTTAGTGATTTCAGGCTTCTTTGACACGCTGGGTGAGATGGTTCCATTGTAATCTTTTAATGTGTATTGTTGGTGCATTAGATGTGCTAAAGGGAGATCAGTACCTATGAGCCAAAATAAGTCATTTCAGTGCCATACTGATGGATGCTGTCCGAATGGTCTCCACAATGGTAGTTTAAAAACAGACTAAACTGCTGACTGGTTTTTGATTTTCCTTACGAAGTAGAGTTTTTGATGGGCCTTTCTGATGAGGTGGTCTGTATTGATTTGCCTTTTTAAAGTGCTGCAAATATAGGAATTTGCAGTCTGTAATGATCCTTTGTTTTCTGTTGATGCATTGGGAGTTTGCTCTGCAGGAAAACCCGATGAAAACTTCTGATGTATACTTCAGTAAAAGTGGCAGACTGTAGGAGTGGAGGCCATTTCACTGTCATCAATTTAAGCCCCTCCCCTGGTCACATATAGACAGAAAGCACTTACATGCTGAAATCAGATCTGCTTCTAAATGATTAATGCTGTGCATACTGTGGAGTCCATTATTTGCAGTCATGTTTATTACTGGTTGCCAGAAAAATTGCTGTCACTTATGCAGCATCTACTAGTATAACCTGTAGGGAAATAGACAACATAAATACAGCTTGAGCTCATATTAATGTAAATAATATTATATTATACAATAAATGTAACATTAACCAGTGACTAGTGTCGATGAAGCTTGATACACAAGACACAGAAGCCATTCATTCAACGAACTGCTGCGTCATTACCACATAGCCTATTACACGTTGACACTTGTTTTCATTGCCAAGATAATATGTGCATTTTCATACTTGCTCCACATATACAGATGAACAGTTTTGTTCATATTACATTTAACCTATTTCAGTTAATAGCCTGTAGCAAAGAGGAAAACAGTAAGAGGTTTGATAAAACAATAATCAGCACATTTTAAAAGCATCTAAAGGCAAGTACAAACACAAATAAACAGTAGTGGTATGATTTTACTGTTGCATGCCTACTTTCATTAGCTTTATTGGACTCGTGATGCCTCCTCTAATGGGACAGCCTAAAGCGCTGACTGCATCAGAGCTGCTGATTCTGAAGTCAGTCCTTCATGCTGCACTTCACTGTGCTGCGGGACGGGAGCGTTTGGTTTCGACTCTGCTTCAAAACCATGCATCTTACAAACGATAAACACCATCCGAAAGTGTCTTTTGGTAACTTTACTGTTCATTTGTTAAGTTCAACTGTCCCGATCAAAGCGAATATTCAAATGCACTTGTACGACAGATTCCATCAATTGCGTCGGTTCGCTTCTCATCCCACGGACTATACCGAGTGACATCAACTCTGTAAGTGTAATATTATGTTCGCGTAGCAATTTCTTTTGCAAAAATGTTTATAATTTTATCAAACATAGTGGGAGATAGCCTATATTTGTGTTTTCGAAACTGAACGTGCATCGTAGTGATTGGTACAAAACGATAAACAAAAGAAGAGGCATATTTATTCATTTATAATATTTTTTAGGAGTTAATTGCAGTTTCCCAGAAATCAAGGAGGCTATGTTCTCGCTATAATGTCCTCGCTGCAGTTACTGTAAGTGACTGCTGCATCACTTTTAATAAATGTACCTGTTTATCCGCATTAGAAAACACCAACACGTTGAGTATACAAGTGTCAGGGATTCATCACAGTCACTTCAGTCACCATCCAGGATAATTACCCGATCACAGTCACCTGAGTTCTGATCACCCGCACCTGCTGTCACCAATCAAGCCACACTACAAATACACACACAGCACAGTCACTCACTGTCCGGTCTACCGTTCACTCCTACGAACTACTCTGGACTCTCTCTGCCAAATTCTCCTAGAACGAATTACCTGCTGTTCCTCCCACGATCCTCCAACGACTCCTTGGAAACGGCTCCTTGGAAACGGCTCCACGATCTCCAACGTAACCGGCATACGATCCTCTCCATCAGAACTCAGATAAGCACCCTGGAACCATTCACTGTGTTGACATTCACCTGCCTTTAACTCACCTATTCCAGTCATCCACTTACCCAGTCAATAAACCATCCTGTTTTGCACTTACCTGTTGTGTCTGGCCTTGCTTTGTGACAACAAGGCATTCTTTGTTATGCTGGTCATATTTATGTTTTAGAATTTTCTGGCAAATTCTGACATCTTTTCTCTTAGTCTCCTTAGTTCTAATTAATTTTCTGAAATCAAGGAGGATGCATTCTCAGGGCTTCCTCATCTTGAGTATTTGTAAGTATTTGGACAGCTTTTATGCATTTAAATTAATGAACAAAAATGTTATCATCTTTACAGTATTACTGACGTATTTGTTGGATGCCTAGACCACTTTATCCATATCCCTGCAGAGTGATTGGATGAAGTACTTTTTGTCGCCTACATTTTGTCTCATTTTATTTCTCTAACCAGATTTATTGAAGGTAACAAGATTGAAGAGATAAACAAATATGCCTTCAGAGGACTTAGGGATGTTACACATCTGTATGACATACAGCAAGCAAAGGTTGTATTTATTTAGACACAGATTTCTGGTAGGCATCATTTAATTGAGAAGGTAATATATTTGTTTATTTTATTTCAAATTGTCCATACATAATGTTATACATTGCTGTTTATTATAAGGCACACTGTAAAGTGCCTTAAATCCTGATTTATTGTAGATAAATAAATATAAACTATAAATACCCAAATGGAAATGTATTATATTGCCATATATCAAGAGTGATATTGCCATATTACTTATAAGGCGATATACAATTTTCACATACATACATTCTCTGGGTAGATGAAGACAAGTTTATAACATATGATATCCCTACAGTAAATGTACATATGTTAATAATATTTATATGATGCTGTTTTATATGGTATATATGCAGCAACCATATGTCAACAATGCATATTTTATGTGCTTATAAACGTATAAACAAAAAAATTGTTTGTGTATTTTAATAATTTTTTAAAACACATCTCTTTTATTATTTATTATATTTAATTAAATACTCTCAACCTGTATTGACATGTTTTAGGATAAATATTATATATGCAGTATTATACAAAAAACTACGTATTGTATTTATAAACGAGGACATTCATAAATGTCGTGTAATGAAGGTTTTCACAGCTTTGATAAGTGAAAGTGAAAAGTGAAAGTGATGTGACGTGGCCAAGTATGGTGACCCATACTCGGAATTAGTGCTCTGCCTTTATCCCATCCAAAGTGCACGAACACACACCTGGAGCAGTGGGTGTGGTTCGCTTGATTCGCTTAATATTGTCTACACACATATTTAACATATATTTAACATTTCTGCACTCACACAGACACAAAATGCAAGACTGAAAATTGAGTAAATAAGTAAACTATGAATATTAACCTAGAAAGTGCTGCCCTACCACAATTTCTGATTGCCCCTCCAGTCCAGCGAGCCTATAGTACCGGGCCTGTATGTACATGACATATGTCCAAAACGTTTTACATATTTGAATGGGCCATATATATATATTTATTTCTGGTAGTTTTTAACTTTATGTTGACGTTTTGCATATATGGAATTGTTCTGATTTCGAATATATTTCACATATGGAAATGTAATATATGTACATATATTATATGAATTTAGTCTCTAAATTCTGAGGCTAAATTCAGAAACGCTTGTTTTGTTTACTGTGTGGAGACGTGCTGATATCGCGTTTGGTCTCGTTCTGTATCGCGTACTACTTGTTTTACTTCTGTTTCAGTTTTTTTTTACCATTTCTTACTATATGTAAGTTGTTTTTTTTTAACGTAAGTTTGGCAGTGTTATTTTTTAGGATTACTGATATGTATATGTATGTATGTATGTGTGTATATGTATGTATGTATGTGTGTATGGTTGTTTTTTTGGTGTTTGGCTTAGTGTTATGTTAGAATCATTATTATACTCATACCTTTTGTTCTTTAATATTTTGAATTAGTTTTAGCTTTGTTTTTTGTTTTTCATTTAAATAAGTTTTGAAATTTTGTTGTATGCATTTGTCATTTTCATTTAATTTCTTTATTTTTAAAATGTGTATAAGTAGTATTTATAACGTTTTAGCCTTTTGTTTTGTATCTGTTTTTAGTTGTTTTAGTATTACAATTGATTGCTTCTGTTGTCCTCATTTGTAAGTCGCTTTGGATAAAAGCATCTGCTAAATGACTAAATAAATAAATAAATAAAAATATATTTCATTTGCGTAAAGTCTATCCATTTGTATTAATTCATTTCCTCTCTGTTTTTACAGGTCATTAGCAAATAACAATTTAAAAACACTGCCCAGGGGTATTTTTTCTGATCTGCGCTCTTTGATTGAACTGAGTTTTTCAGTTCACTGTTTGCAAATGTGCTCATACAATCAACATATTACCAAAACAACCACTTACATATACCATGCTAAATAGCTGGGAAGCAATGATATTGCAGTCACATAATGTAGATATGATTTTGTTTATTTGCAGAGTTTTTTAGAGTGTTTTGATAATTTCATCTCTAATAAACTGAGATCTGTGTGGGAACATGTTCCATTGCGACTGTGAATCCATGTGGCTGATGCTGTGGTTGAAGCGATCCAATG